TGACTGCTTTTAAATTGATAGCTACTAAACTTATATTAGATGCATTGCTCATGTCTGTATACTCCACTGCTTTGGTTCATGTTTTTGTTGCTATGGTAACCATATATACTAGTTTTAAATGCCAATAAGATTATCACCTCCATTCCTGGTTTTATTTCATCCCGTGTTAAATGGCAGTCCCATCACCTATTGACTATAATTGATATTAATTCCCAAATTGTCCAGACTTTCCTACATTTTTTCAATATAGTTTTTTAATTTCATTGTGGAACATGTTTAAATTTGTATTGACCCTTTTAAGGCCATTGATTTTGACTCACATTTTGTACATTTATTATGTATTTTCTAATTGGCTTAAGTTTTCATTGGCTATATAGGTCATGGTAAATTTAGCTTTGGTGTTACAAGGGTTAATAAATAAGATCATTTGCACATGTTGAATGTACACAATCACCAATAAATGAACAATTAATAATATAATTTTGTAAAATAAATATTTTTTGTGTTATCTTGTGTTAGTCAAATTTGCTGTATTATAAATGCTTATAAATGTTGCTTAAAAATTAGCATAAATGGTTTAGTGTACCCAATGAAGTTAACTCCAAAGTGATTCTGATAAATTCCATTTACATTGTGTACACTCCTATAACTCCATTTATCCTTTTTTTTTTCATTTCATTCTTTTCTTATTCTTGAACATTTTCATTCCTTCCCCTTGAAGATTGATGACAAGGTAAAAACATGAATGTTGTTCTGTAAACCTGCAACAACACCCCGCAACCCCTTCTCAGCAGAGAAACCATTAAGTCAACCCATTGTCTTCCATTCATTATAGAATATACCATTGTACAGTTAAGGGTAGGAAGGGTCATAATACAGGGGTGGATGCTCTTAGTAATGTGGTAGTAGTAGTACTGTAGCTTTGTGTTTTACACCACACATTGTACATGTATCAATTGTTTATTAATGAAGTAGTCACATTCTGCATTCTCTGCCACAGTCAAAACTGTAAATTGTACCACAGTTGTTACATTATACAAATAAATTACTGGAACTTATTGGTCAATTTGTTCACATTTCATTATTTGGACCAAGTTATACAAAATATTGAAATGAGCGTATCAAATGTTTTTTGGCTCAAATCAAATGATTTGATTTTGAACTTTTGAATTTCTTGAAAAAACGAAACGAAAAATGATCTATTCAACCCAACATTTAGGGGAACTACTTTGTGATGTATAATACATGTTGCAATGGTGGTGAAAAGGTTTAGCTATATATACATGTGCACTAGTTACTATTAAAATGAAAATATATTGAACATTTTATTGATTTGACATATTGTAACATTTTATCTTAAAACTGTCCAACTTTTTTGATCTTATTTGATCTTCAGGCTGAAGTGTTACTGCAGACCGCAGAACAGAATTACCATGCAGCTCTTGAATCGAAGTCACAGATTGGAGTAGATCTGAAAATGATGGAAAACACCATCAGTACACTCAAAGCACAGTTGGCAGAAGAACGAGCAAATAGAAAATTAGCAGAACAAAAATTGAATTCATTTTCAGAGATGTTGGAGCAGGAAAGAAAGAAAAAGGTAGATCTAAAATTGTTATTTTCATATCCTGTGAATATCTACTTAGTCAAACTTAATTTAGTCTTCTTCTCTGCACTTTCAGTTGTTACCAAAATCAGATACCCAGGTTGTTACAGACTTAGTCAGTGCTTGGAATTTGTCATTAATTTTAGTCCCTGTTTGGGACTATTAACTTTAGGTTCTGTCCATCTGTGCATTTGGAGTCATTTTTCAGACATGCTTTGACCGCATTCAAATTCAACACACAGACTATGACTTGCATATGAGCATCAATTTGGCTGACTGGCGGCCATTTTCGTCCTCAAAATTACCAAATTCTTAAATGTAGTTCGGGCCATATTCCTCAGAGATGCATGAACAGGGGGCATTTCATTCAAATCTTGTTTCATGATCATGCATAATGATTTTAACAAAAATGGTTGACTGTTGGCCATTTTGGTTTTGTTCATGTCCATCATTAATATATTGCCTGATTCAGTTTAAAAATTGCCTAAAAGTACTGTACCGGTACTCTAAGGTACCGCTGACTGTGCTGGAATTCGGCATTTAATCCAGAATGGATTTTGTGTAATGTTTTAACTTATATACAAATGTTTTAGTAACCAGCACTTAGCCAGTGGTTATAGTCATATCATGTATCCAATGTTACATTATTAGGCTGCACTCAGAGAAGACATCAATGTCATGCAGTTGAAACTCTCAAAAGCTGAGGCAACTATTAGCTTTGAGAAAGACAGACTTCGGAAATTGAAAGAACATCGAAATGAATTGGAATCTAAA